AAAGAAGGAAGGAAGATAAGGAATTTCGCATATAATCTGGTCGAAGCGTATCCATCAGTGACGAGGTGCCAAGTACACTCTGGCCGACGCTCGGTCAGCTGTGAAAATATTTCAGTTCCTAGTAGCAAAAAGGGCCGGCACGATGCACACGCTATATACGAGCCGGTTAAAGCAAAGAACGCGTGCGATTCGACCAACCAACAGGTGCTTTATACGTGCCTGTCCGGCAAGAAGAATCGAGGAGAATCGTCCCGGGGTCCCCCGAGCGACTTGCAGCAACCTTTTACACTCTCGATGCAACCCTGTATGCTATATATACGTGTACGTACGCGGGGAGACCAGTCACTGCGACTCCCAAGGCGGCGAGAATCCACGCGTGTCTTCGACCGTTTATTGGACTTCGAACACCTCTTCTCTTGCCCGCCTCGCGTACGTGGCGCAACGTACGCGAGAATTCGTCCGTACACGTGTAATTACTTCGGACAAAGCGTTCCCGTAAAAAGCTACGCGGACCGTATATATCCTCGTTGAGGCCGCGCGCATGCAACCGAGGCCTGAAAGCGAGGTTCCATGGTTCGTCTCGTGGAATTCGATGCAGATTTACGATCCTACCCAACACTGTTCGATCCCCGAGATTCCATACTTTTCAAGCTTCTCTCGTCTTTTAAAGATTTTCGTACACGCGCAGGCTGTATTGTTTCACTGAGTAAGTTCAACTAACTTTGAATTTCCTTTTTAGAATCACGATGAAACGTATAGTAGAATTAAGGCTGAAACAGTATCTACACTCTCATTTCGAGATCGAACTATGCTCCTTCTTTATACACGCTTCTATCTTTTGTCCTGTCTATGAAACTCTAAATAGCCTCTGCTCAATTTTATATCGACTAACGTACAACAGCTTGCAGCCTCGCCACCGAATCTTTAAAAGATTTCTCTTCTTTTTTTTTTTTTTTTTTAAAATCGAGCGATCGTACGATACTTCGAACATGGATTTTCGTTCTTCCAATTTTAATACTCTTGGCAAACGTGCTCCGTAAGATCGTCGTCATCTCCTCTCGTCGTTCAAATTGTTCGTGTCGCAGCGCGTTGCCTCGATGGCTTGGCCGATTCCATGAATCCACAGTTCGATGGCCATTCCCGTTTCCGGCCGGAGAAACTGGAATAAGGCAATTGGATCGGTCAGCGGACGAAGAGAATCATCGCAAAGCAGATGTTGGCATCGGCGAGCGAAACGGATTTAATCGAGGTATATGCTATTACTCCGGTGGCACCAGTCGCGCTGGTACCGAGCAACTCTCCTCGCCAGGTGTGCTGAAATCACCAGCAACCAGCGACACAGACACCAACATCAACAACAGGAACATCAGCAGCAGCAGTACCAGGAGTAGCAGCTCGCTAACGACCCCGTAGAACATGGATGAGAGTGGCTGAAGGGGGGGAATCATGGGTGGGTTAAACTCAAGCTTAAATATCAATCAGCGGAAGCAAGAGCAAAGAAAACAGGAAGAAGACGGGAGGCTCTCGGTTGTGAAGGTGATGTAAGAGGAAGAGAGGAAGATAGAGACGAAGAGATAAAGAGAGGGAAAGAGAGGGAAAGAGAG